CGAAACAATATATTCCTGGAGTCGAAAATCCAACTCTAAAACAAGATAATCTTGAAGTCGGACACTGAGAGACAATGTTTTCTATTCCTGAATTCGCAACTGCAGCATACAACTTCAAAGCAAGATAATCAGTGACATAAAGCAATAAGTCCATGCACTCATCACAGTTTCAAGCAGAATGCATTATGTCCTCGTCAGTTAACGCCTTCTAATATGTGAACACGACCATAATGCGTTAGGTCTTCTAACTGGAAACCTTTGGAGTTTGTTTGGACTGCCTGTTGATACCCATAAATAATGGCCACAGGTTTTACGACGTACTCACTACCATCAATGATTCAATGACAATGAAATAGATAATATTGAAAATAATTATGAATGTAAAATAACACAATAGTAATAAAATCGTCGGCTTTCTCTGCTGATTCCATACATACCAAAATCGTGGAAACTTTTTTTATGAATGGAGTTTATGCGTTCTGCCTTGTCACGTTTGGTATCGGGTGACTCTGTACTGATTAATGTTCGTTTTATTTTGTTTTGTTTTGTCTTTATTTTGCCACATCCTACAATAAAGTTTTTGGTTGGTTTCTTTGTTTGCTTGCTTTTAAGACCCTTACGTTTAGGGAACAGGACTTCAAGGACCCACGCATGAAACCACAGTAGGAAAACATTCTTATTGCGTGTGTAGCGATGAAGGTTATAGCAGGATAAAATTCACGTTGAATTATATGGTTATCGTTGGTTTTATTAGATATGCAGCATATATATATAAACTTGAATAACAATTAGTTATGCGTTTCGTTAATGAGTAAAATGAAAGGATTAAAGAGAAAGGAAAATATAAAAGGGAAAATCAAGTAAATAGGACAATAAGTATAGAGGTGGGATAATTGGCAACTGTAACCTTGAAGTTCTATATATATATATATTTTTTTTTTTTTTATAGATCCTTTTCTTATTATCTATCTTTTAATATCCTTTCTTTTTTTCTTTTTTCCTTTTTTGAGGTCTATGTTAGATCTATGTATTTTCTAAGCTCCGCCCCTTTCGGCCCCTCGCTCCTTCGCTGCGTAAATAAAGGGGAAAGTCTGAATCTGTCTGGTCAGTTCTCCCTTGAAGAATGAAACTCCAAGTTACATAATGAACTGGTTCATAAGCTTCCTGCTGTAAGTAACAATGATAATTACATTTTCATTTTGGTACGATCGTTATCATTTTCCTTTTTCTCTTTCTCATATTTTTTCCTTTTTTCAAGAGTACTTTCCTTAGTGCTGGTCTTGTTGTCGTTATTTATTTTTTTTTTTTTCTATGCTGTGTTACGCTAGATCTGTTCAAATTCATCTTTATTGTCAACGCAAAAATTCAGATTCTTTTTTTGAAGGGGGTGGGCGTTCAAGAATATATATGTATATGTATATATATACTAGACAGGCGGACAGGCAGGAACAGAACCACACAAGATCAAAAGCCAAAAACACGATCAAATTAGAAAGAGGGAGAGGAAAGAAAATCCCTTCACAGCTTGGGAATCTCCACCCCCCCCCCCCCCCCCCCCAGCCACGTGCGGTTCGTGCTCACTCAACCAAAACTCCTCCCATTTCCTCGTCCGTATATAAAAGCATCGCCAGTCACTGTCCTTCATTGTCAATTCCAGTGCTGACACGTAAGGATTCAATGATGAGGTGGATCGCTTTGACTTTCTTGTTGTAAGTTGGGTTCATTTTTGTCTTTCTTGTCAGTAGGATAAACCGTTTTGCGTTTCTTGTTGTAAGTGGGATTAATGTACTGCGTTTACTAAAGTGATTCTTTTAAGAGCTGTTGATGTGATTGTTATTACTTTGTTTTTGTTGTTTCTCCCGTGTGGTGTCTATATCGCCGTCTTTGTTTGTGTTAATGCGATCTTTGTATTGTTCATGAATTAGTAATGGCAAGTTTATATATATAAATCTACATTTTATACTTTTGTCTAATGCTCTTTGTACAGGCGTGTTTTAGTCTGATTTTAGTATGTTCTTCATTATGACTGATTTTTTTTATCCCAAAGGTTGTCATCCTTGATGGTGGCGACAGAAGCGCGGCCCCAAGGAAAAATCCCGCCTACATGTACGTCATGATCCCCTGTCTTCTTGCCTTGTTTGCTCTTTTATTTTGATTTGATAGTCACCATAATGCATTCCCTTTCTAGCCCCACCGATAATCCTTCTGCCGCTTTATTGTTCTGTTTTGTTTTCTGCCTTTAGTTCCTACACCCGGGCCTACAATCACTCCAACCCCATGCAACTTCCCGTTCCCACGGTGTCGTCCTCTTGCAACCATCGAGAGGTTCGATTCGCACGTGTAAGGAGGACTCCGGAGGGCCCTGCGAGTCTTCAGGATGGTTTTCCTTGTCGTACACGTCCTTGGACTCTCTTAAGTGATTTTCTTCAAGGTTTTTTATTGTCTACGTAAATTAGTAGCTTTTCCTTCTGTCAGTAAAAGTTATCAGCCGTTCTATTCGCATCTTGTACAAGTTATTGAGATTTCCTTATCGTCAGTGCAAGCTATCAAGTGCTTTCTTCGTGTAAACATAAGTTAGCAAGGTTCCATTAGTGCCTCTGCAAATCATTGTTTTTTGTTTGTTTACACTAGTTATCAGAGCTTCCCTAGTCTCTATACGAATTATTATGTCTTACATGCTTGACTTAGAGTTCTTCATTTCATTCGGCTATCTGTTGTAATGCTAAATATAAATTGTCATAATTGTTCATACTTCTTTATATCCTCACCACCGTTTGAAGAGTAAGCTCATGTTGGCTCGAAAGGAGAACAGGTTATCAGTCTCTTGATCCATATGGAAGTCAGTATTTCAGCGATATTTTGTTTGTTAGCTTGAAAAAGAAAAATAATCCCTTATATTTGAGTTTGCTTATATATAGATGTATATATATACATATACAATATATATGTATATATAATATATATACACTACATATACTGTGTACATATTTTATATACCATATATGTGTTTGTGCGGTTTTACACACACACACACACACACAGTATATTCCCATTCACAAGTAGACTTTTATTTTCAATAAACAAATACCGTTGAATCAAAAGCCATTGCATTTTAAAACCTCTGCCCATACAAGATTCCTTTATCGTCAGTCGTATTTTATATACTCACAAGACAGAAGAGGGAATTAACCCGCTTTACTGCCTTCAAATAAATCTCATTATCTGTCATTTTCTTACTTTTTTACATGTTATTGTGTATATCTCTTTCGTATTTTCTTTTGAGAGACGATGTGTCAATTAGATTTTTTTTTTTATTATTCTTCCATGTGATAATCTAAAAATGCATGGTGATTGCAAAGTTCATAGTTTGAAATCGAGAGAGAAGAAATGTTTAATAATGATGAGTAAAATGCAACTTTAAGTACTGCTTGAACCTGTCAACAAAATATCACTTACTTATTCCGTATAATAAGCCACATTCTCAGCATGAGCCTATAACCATCAGCAAATTTGTGAGAAAATATGGCTATTTGTTAAACTAGACCGCCATCTGCTGATGCATTCAATAAATCTTTTAAGTTGTGTGTGTGTGTGTTTGTATGTGTGTGAAACAAAATGGAGTATAAAAGGGAAAATAACAAAATGACAAACAACGAAGGAAAACAAACCTCCAACTGCAGATTGCAACTTGCAACTGCATTCCTTGACTGGAGAAAAAACATTTACGCACAAAACGGCATAGGTCACGCAACACCCTCGTATCTCCTGCTATAATAAAGAAGTTACACACGCTATTACCAACGGACATTTTTTTACAACAGAGTGAGGTTCTGTGTCTAACTTCGATTGTTTGAAAATTTTATCATCTATGAAGGTATTTTAATGTCGATTTTTTACTACTATTAACTTTCTTGTTTGTGTGTTTTGTCAATTAATGGTTAATCGCAATCTGTGTTCTTTTTCCATCTTTTTCCTTCATTCCCATCAATATTGCAACAAAATATCACTTTCCACTGCCATTAGAATTATTGTCATTATTACCATTATCATCACATTGGATAACAGATCCGTATCTTAGGTCCATCTTCCAGAGCCTTCTCTCGGACACCTTACACATGCCAATGTTTTCTATTCCTGAAGTCGCAGTTCGAAACAATATATTCCTGGAGTCGAAAATCCAAGATAATCTTGGAGTCGGACACTGAGAGACAGACAATGTTTTCTATTCCTGAAGTCGCAACTGCAGCATACAACTTCAAAGCAAGATAATCAGTGACATAAAGCAATAAGTCCATGCACTCATCACAGTTTCAAGCAGAATGCATTATGTCCTCGTCAGTTAACGCCTTCTAATATGTGAACACGACCATAATGCGTTAGGTCTTCTAACTGGTCTGGTCAATTCTCCCTCGAAGAATGAAACTGCAAGTTACATAATAAAGTGGTTCATAAGCTTCCTGCTGTAAGTAACAATGATTACATTTTCAGTTTGATACGATCGTTATCATTTTCCTTTTTCTCTTTCTCATATTCTTTTCTTTTCTCAAGGGTAGTTTTCATAGTGCTGTTCTTGTTGTCGTTTTTTTTTTCTATGCTGTGTTACGCTAGATCTGTTCAAATTCACCATTATTGTCAACGCAAAAATTCAGTTTTTTTTTTCTTTTGAGGGGGGTGGGCGTTCAGGAATATATGTGTATATGTATATATATACTAGGCAGACGGGCAGGCAGGAACAGAACCACACAAGATCATAAGCCAAAAACACGATCAAATTAGAGAGAGGGAGAGGAAAGAAAATCCCTTCACAGCTTGGTAATCTCCCCCCCCCCCCCCCCTCTTTCCTTCCCAGCCACGTACGGTTCGTGCTCACTCAACCAAAGCTCCTCCCATTTCCTCGTCCGTATATAAAAGCATCGCCAGTCACTGTCCTTCAAGAACCGGGCTCCCCAAATAGGCATAGCCCGGGCGAGGCTCTGCTTCGCGAATCAAAAAAAAAAAAAAAAAAAAAAAAAAAAAAAAAAAAAACTGTCCTTCATTGTCAATTCCAGTGCTGACAAGTAAGGACTCGACGATGAGGTGGATCGCTTTGACTTTCTTGTTGTAAGTTGGGTTCATTTTTGTTGTCTTTCTTGTAAGTAGGATTAATCGTTTTGCGTTTCTTGTTGTAAGTGGGATTACTAAAGGGATTTACTAAAGTGATTCTTTTAAGAACTGGTGTTGTGATTGTTATTACTTTGTTTTTTTTGTTTCTCCCGTGTGGTGTCTATATCGCCGTCTTTGTGTTAATGCGATCTTTGTATTATTCACGAATGTAATTAGTAATGGCAACTTATATATATATATATATATATATATCCACATTTTATACTTTTGTCTAATGCTCTTTTTACAGACGTGTTTTAGTCTGATTTTAGTATGTTATTCATTATGACTGATTTTCTTTATCCCAAAGGTTGTCATCCTTGATGGTGGCGACAGAAGCGCGGCTCCCAGCCAAAATACCGCCTACATGTACGTCATGATCCCTTGTCTTCTTGCCTTGTTTGCTCTTTTATTTTGAATTGATAGTCACTACAATGCATTCCCTTTCTAACCCCACCGATAATCCTTCTGCCGCTTTATTGTTCTGTTTTGTTTAATGCCTTTAGTTCCTACACGCGGGCCTACAATCAAACCGATCCCATGCAACTTCCCGTTCCCACCGTGTCCTCATCATCTTGCAACCATCGAGAAGATCAATAAGCGCGTGTAAGGAGGACTCCGGAAGGCCCTGCAAGTCTTCAGGATGGTTTTACTTGTCGCACACGTCCTTGGACTCTCTTAAGTGATTTTCTTCAAGGTTTTTTTTATTGTCTACGTACATTAGTAGCTTTTCCTTCTGTCAATAAAAGTTATCAGGCGTTCTATTCGCATCTTGTACAAGTTATTGAGATTTCCTTATCGCCAGTGGAAGCTATCAATTGTTTTCTTCGTGTAAACATAAGTTAGCAAGGTTCCATTAGTGCCTCTGCAATTCATTGTTTTTTGTTTGTTTACACTAGTTATCAGGGCTTGCCTAATGTTTGTCCAAATCATTGTCTTACATGCTTGACTTAGAGTTCTCCATTTGATTCGGCTATCTGCTGTAATGCTAAAAATAAATTGTTACAATTGTTGACATTTCTTTATATCCTCACCACCGCTTGAAGAGTAAGTTCATGTTGGCTCGAAAGAACAGGTTGTCAGTCTCTTGATCCTTATGGAAGGCAGTATTTCAGCGATTTTTTGTTTGTTAGTTTGCAAAAGAAAAGAAATCCCTTATATATGAGTTTGCTTATATATGTGTATATATACATACATATACAATATATATATGTATATATATAATATATATATACACTATATATATACTGTGTATATATATTTTATATACCATATCATATATGTGTCTGTGCGGCTTTATATATACACACACAAACACACACACATGATATATTCCCATTCACACGTACACTTTTATTTTCAATAAACAAATACTGTTGAATTAAAAGCCATTACATTTTAAAACCTCAACCCATACAAGATTCCTTTATCATAAGTCGTATTTTATGTACTCACAAGATAGAAGAGGGAATGAACCTGCTTTACTGCCTTCAAATAAATCTCATTATCTGTCATTTTCTTACTTTTTTACATGTAATTGTGTATCTCCTTCGTATTTTCTTTTGAGAGACGATGTGTCAATTGGTTGATTTGTTTTTTAATTCTTCCATGTGATAATCTAAAAATGCATGGTGACTGCAAAGTTATTCATAGTTTGGAATCAAGAGAGAAGAAATGTTTAATAATGATGAGTAAGATGCAACTGTAAGTACTGCTTGAACCTGTCAACAAAATATCACTTACTTATTCTGTATGATAGGCCACATTCTCAGCAAATTAGCAAATTTGTGAGAAAATATGGCTAATAATAGGCCACATTCTCAGCATGAGCCTATAACCATTAGCAAATTTGTGAGAAAATATGGTTATTTGTTAAACTAGACCGCCATCTGCTGATGCATTAAATAAATCTTTTAAGTTGTGTGTGTTTGTGTTTGTGTGCGCGTGTGTATGTGTGTGAAACAAGATGGAGTATAAAAGGGAAAATAACAAAATGACAAACAGCGAAGGAAAACAACAAACCTCCAACTGCAGATTGCAACTTGCAACTGCATTCCTTGACTGGAGACAAGAAAAAAATTACACAAAACGGTACAGGTCACGAACACCCTCGTATCTCCTGCTACAATAAAGAAGTTACACACACTATTACCAACGAACATTTTTTTTTTTTTTTTTTTTTTTTAACAACAGAGCGAGGTTCTGTGTTGATCTAACTTCGATTGTTCAAAAATTTTATCAGCTATGGAGGTATTTTAATGTCGATTTTTTACTACTATTAACTTTCTTGTTTGTGTGTTTTGTCAATTAATGGTTAATCGCAATCTGTGTTCTTTTTCCATCTTTCTCCTTCATTCCCATCAGTATTGCAACAAAATATCACTTTCCACTGCCATTAGAATTATTGTCATTATTACCATTATCATCACATTGGATAACAGATCCATATCTTAGGACCATCTTCCAAAGACTTCCCTACACCTTACACATGCCAGACAATGTTTTCTATTCCTGAAGTCGCAGCATACAAATTCGAAACACTATATTCCTGGAGTCAAAAATCCAGCATACAACTCTAAAACAAGATAATCCTGAAGTCGAACAGTGACAGACAATGTTTTCTATTCCTGAGCTCGCAACTGCAGCAAAGCAAGATAGTCGGTGACATAAAGCAATGATTCCCCCATGCGCTCATCACAGTTTCAGGCAGAATACATTATGTCCTCGTCAGTTAACGCTTTCTGATATGTGAACACGGCCATAATGCGTTAGATCTTCTAACTGGAAACCTTTGTTTGGACTGCCTGTTGATACCCATAAATAATGGCCACTACCATCAATGATTCAATGACAATAAAATAGATAATATTCAATGTAATTATGAATGTAAAATAACACAATAGTAATAAAATCGTCGTCCTTTTCTGCTGATTCCATACATACCAAAATCGTGGAAACTTTTTTTATGAATGGAGTTTATGCGTTCTGCCTTGTCACGTTTGGTATCGGGTGACTCTGTACTGATTAATGTTCATTTTATTTTGTTTTGTTTTGTCTTTATTTTGCCACATCCTACAATAAAGTTTCTGGTTGGTTTCTTTGTTTGCTTGCTTTTAAGACCCTTACGTTTAAGGAACAGGACTCCAAGGACCCACGCATGAAACCACAGTAGGAAAACATTCTTATTGCGTGTGTAGCGATGAAGGTTATAGCAGGATAAAATTCACGTTGAATTATATGGTTATCGTTGGTTTTATTAGATATGCAGCATATATATATAAACTTGAATAACAATTAGTTATGCGTTTCGTTAATGAGTAAAATGAAAGGATTAAAGAGAAAGGAAAATATAAAAGGGAAAATCAAGTAAATAGGACAATAAGTATAGAGGTGGGATAATTGGCAACTGTAACCTTGAAGTTCTATATTTTTTTTTTTTTATAGATCCTTTTCTTATTTTTATCTATCTTTTAATATCCTTTTTTTGTTTGTTTGTTTGTTTGCTTTTCCTTTTTTTGAGGTCTATGTTAGATCTATGTATTTTCTAAGCTCCGCCCCTTTCGGCCCCTCGCTCCTTCGCTACGTATATAAAGGGGAAAGTCTGAATCTGTCTGGTCAGTTCTCCCTCGAAGAATAAAACTTCAAGTTACATAATGAAGTGGTTCATAAGCTTCCTGCTGTAAGTAATAATGATAATTACATTTTCAGTTTGATACGATCGTTATCATTTTCCTTTTTCTCTTTCTCATATTCTTTTCTTTTATCAAGGGTACTTTTCTTAGTGCTGTTCTTGTCGTTGTTTTTTTTTTTTTTTTATGCTGTGTTACGCTAGATCTGTTCAAATTCATCTTTATTGTCAACGCAAAAATTCAGATTCTTTTTTTTGTTGTTTTTTTGAGGGGGGTGGGCGTTCAAGAATATATATGTATATGTATATATATACTAGGCAGACGGACAGGTAGGAACAGAACCACACAAGATCATAAGCCAAAAACACGATCAAGTTAGAGAGAGGGAGAGGAAAGAAAATCCCTTCATAGCCTGGGAATCTCCGACCAACCCCCCCCCCCCTCTCCTCCCCAGCCACGTGCGGTTCGTGCTCACTTAACCAAAGCTCCTCCCATTTTCTTGTCCGTATATAAAAGCATCGCTAGTCATTGTCCTTCACTGCCGATTCCAGTGCTGACACGTAAGGACTCGACGATGAGGTGGATCGCTTTGACTTTCTTGTTGTAAGTTGGGTTCATTTTTGTTGTCTTTCTTGTCAGTAGGATTAATCGTTTTGCGTTTCTTGTTGTAAGTGGGATTAATGTACTGCGTTTACTTAAGTGATTCTTTTAAGAACTGTTGTGGTGATTGTTATTACTTTTTTTGTTTTGTTTTTTTGTTTCTACCGTGTGGTGTCTATGTCTTTGTGTTAATGCGATCTTTGTATTGTTCACGAATGTAATTAGTAATGGCATACTTTTATATATATATATAAATCCACATTTTATACTTTTGCGTAATGCTCTTTGTACAGAAGTGTGTTTTAGTGTTAGTGTTATTCATTATGACTGATTTTCTTTATCCCAAAGGTTGTCATCCTTGATGGTGGCGACAGAAGCGCGGCTCCCAGTCAAAATCCTGCCTACTTGTACGTCATGATCCCCTGTCTTCTTGTTCTTGCCTTGTTTGCTCTTTTATTTTGATTTGATAGTCACCATAATGCATTCCCTTTCTAACCCCTCCGATAATCCTGCCGCTTTATTGTTCTGTTTTTTTTAGTTCCTACACGCGGGCCTACTACCACTACAACCCCATGCAACCTCCCGTTCGCACAGTGTACTCTTGCAACCTTCACCATAAGGCCCAATTGACGCGTGTAAGGAGGACTCCGGAAGGCCCTGCGAGTCCTCAGGATGGTTTTCTTTGTCGTCCACGTCCTCGGACTCTCTTAAGTGTTCAAGTGTTCTTTTTGTTCAAGATTTTGTACTGTCTGCATAAATTAGGTTTTCTCCTTGTCTGTAAAAGTTATCTGGCGCTCTATTCGCGTCCTGTAGAAGATATTTAGATTTCCTTATCGTCAGTGCAAGCTATCAAGTGTTTTCTTCGTGTAAACATAACTTAGCAAGGTTCCATTAGTGCCTCTGCAAATCATTGTTGTTTTGTTTGTTTGTTTGTTTACTCTAGTTATCAGAGCTTCCTTAGTGTCTACGAATCATTACTTGATGCATTAGTCATCAAGCATCCTTTAATGCGAGACTTAAAGAGGTATTCATTTTATTCGGCTATCTGTAGTAATGCTAAAAATAAATTGTCATAATTGTTGCTATTTCTTTACATCCTCACCACCGTTTGAAGCTGTTGGCAGTCTCTTGATCTTTATGGAAGCAAATTTTTGTTTGTTAGTTTTTAATCTGCAAAAGAAAAAAATCCCATATATAAGTGTATGTCGATATATATGTATGCATATGTATGTATATAGGTATTTATATTTATATATATGTATATATATGAGTATATATTTATATATATATTTATATATATAAATATATATATGCATATATATATATATATATATATATATATATATATATATATTACATGTATGTACATATATTATATATATATTATACATATATACTTATATATATATGTATATATATATATATATATATATATATATATATATATATATATATATTACATGTATGTACATATATTATATATATATATTATACATATATACTTATATATATATGTATATATGTATATATATATATATATATATATATATATATATATATATTGTATATATATTGTATATAATATATATATATTATATATATATTGTATATATATATATCATATATAAATACATACATATATATATATTGTATATATATTATATATAATATATATATATATATATATATATATATAACATATATATATATGTACATATGCATGCATGCATAAACTACACACACACATATATGCGTGTGTGTGTGTATATGTGTGTGTTTGTGTGTGTGTGTTTGTATGTATCTGTGTTTACATATATGTGTGTTTGTATGTATCTGTGTTTACATAGATGTGTGTGTGTATGTGTATGCATATATATATTTGCATCCACACGTATGCTATTCTTTTCAATAAACAAATACCGTTGAATTAAAAGCCATTGTATTTGAAAACCTCAACCCGTTCCAAGTTTCCTTCATCATCAGTCGCATTTTATGTACTCACAAGACTGAAGAGGGAATTAACCTGCTTTACTGTCTTCAAATAAATCTTATTATCAGTCATTTCCTTACTTATTTACATGTTATTGTGTTTTCTTATGATTCGAGGTGCCAATTGCTTGATTTGCAATTTAAATTATTCCATGAGATATTCTTATTGTTAAACTAGACTTAAACTTTTTTTTTTTTAAGTTGTATGTGTTTGTATTTGTGTTTGTGAATGTTTGTTTGTGTGTGTGTGTGTGTGTGAATGTGTGTGAAACAAGATGGCGTATAAAGGGGAAAATAACAAAAGGACACAAACAACGAAGGAAAACAACAAACCACCAACTGCAAATTGCAACTTGCAACTGCCTTCCTTGAGTGGAAAAGAACCATATATTTACTCACAAAATGGCACAGATCACGCAACACCCTTGTATCTCCTGCTACAATAAAGTAAAGAAGTCACACTCATTATTACCAACGAACATTTTTTTTTTTTTTTAACATAACAGAGCAAGGTTGTGTGTAGATTGTTCGAAAATCTTATAATCTGAGGAAGTATTTTTATGTCGATTTATTATTACTACTAACTTTCTTGTTGGTGTTTGGTCAATAATTGTCAATTAATGATTAATCGTAATCTGTGTTCTTTTCCCATCGTCGTTAATTCATTTGCCTATCAACAACTCCATCAAAGTATTTTAAAATCATGTCATATTTCTCCATAATACCCATCAGTATTGCTATAAAATATCGTTAGAACCAGTACCATCAAAAAGTACTGCCGTTGTTATTGTCATTATTATTACCATAATCATCACATTGATTAACAGTCAGATCTACATATAATGACCATCTTCTAGTACATTCTCACGGGCAGACAATGTTTTCGATTTCTATATAACTTGAAGTCGCAAATGCAGCATACAACTTCAAAGCAAAATAATCCTGTAGTCGCAAATGAAGCATGTAACTTTAAAACAAGGTAATCAGTGACATAAAGCAATACCACCTCCATGCACTTATCACAGTTTCAGGCAGAACGTATCATGTCCTCGTCATAATGCGTTATTTCTCCTAGCCGGAAACCTGTATAGTTTGTTTGGAGTGCCTGCTGATACCCTTAAATAATGTCCAAAATGATTTTACGCATTACCATCAATGATTCAATGACAATAAAATAGATAATATACAATATAATTATGAATGTAAGATAACACAATAATAAGAAGTTCGTCGCCTCTTTCCGTTGATTCCATATATACCAAATTCGTGGAATCTTTTCTTATTAACCCATTCGCCACGGATTTATGTTCTGTCCCCTGTAGTTTTTAGTGAATTTTGTTACCTACAGATGGCTCCACATGTGCTCAGCCGGCAAGGAGTCTATCAGTAGGCCCTAGTTACCGACCCTGATTTTCCCATTCATTGAACTGGCGGGAAAACTAATACCATTGCTTTCGATACTGTTATTATTGTTATTGATGCTATGCTTATTGAATCGTCATTAGAATATTTTTGACAATGAAATGATACAAAAAAAAACTTTCCTAAAGTGAAGGAAAAGGGTAAACAGGTGAAATAGGTAGTTCTTGATAACTGGCTATCTCAAAGCGGGTATGGCATCTATTCTTGCCATATGTGGCGAATGGGTTAATGGAGCTCTGCCTTGCACTTCTGGTATCGGGTGGCTCTGTAAGCTGTCTCACGACGCTCCTTGAGGCAACGATTAACATAAGTCTCAGGGTATTTTTTCCTTAGTATTTATTTTATTTCGTATTTTTTATGCGTCTATTTTTTTTCTTCTTCTTTTTTTGCCACCTGCAACAAAGTTTTTGGTTTGTTTATTTGTTTGCTTGTTTTAAATACACCTTACAATTGGCGAACAGGACCCCAAGACATGCATGAAACCGCAATAAGGGAACAGTCCATTTGCGTGTGTAGTGATGAAGGTTACAGCACGGTAAAATTCACAAGGTTTTAAATATATGGTTATCGTTGTCTTAGTGGATATACGGCATATGTGTATAAACTTGAATAAGAATTAACTATGCTTTTCATTAAAGGTTAAAATGAAAGGATTAAAGAGCAGGGAAAATGGAAAAAAAGGAAAACTAAATAAATAGGACAATAAATACAGAGTAGGGATAATTGGCAACTGTAACCTTGAAGTTCTATGGCGTGTCTGTTGCCCGACACGCCATATATATAAATCGTATTTTTTTTCTTCTTCTTCTTTTTTTTTTACTGGTTCCTCTTTTTTTAGATCTACTTTTTTATCCTTTTTTTAGGTCCTTTTTTTGTGTGTGTGTGTGTGTTTTAGCTCCGCCCCTTTCGGCCCCTCCCTCCTTCGCTGCGTATATAAAGGGGAAAATCCGTATCTCTTTAGTTCTCCCTCGAACAGTAAAACTACAAGTGGCATAATGAAGTGGTTTATAAGCTTCTTGCTGTAAGTAATAATGATAATTACATTTTTTTTAGTTTAATATGATCGTTATCATTTTCCTTTTTATCTCTCTCATTTTCTTTTCTTTTTATTTTGGTGTTTTTGTTAGTGCTGTCCTGTTGTTTTTATATTTTCTTTATTGTGTTATATTAGATCTTCGGTCCAAATTCTTTTTTTTTTTTTTTTTTTTTTTTTGAGCGGGAGGGGGGGGGCGTTCAGGAATTAGCAAAAGAAAATGTTAAATATATAAATTGATAAGATATAAACGAAAAGAAGAAGAAATAGAAAACGGACACTTAATCACTTAGCCTTTTGTTATTAAACTCAACTAACTTGCAAAAGACAAAAGTGAATAAAAAAATAAATTATTAAAAGATATTTTAAATATATAATATCATCGTTTTTCTAATCCTTTTTTTTATATATTTTTCTTTTACTTTTTTCAGTGTGACGTCTTTGTTGAATCAGGAATCTTAATCACGTTGTAAAATAACTTGCAAAATTAAGACAAAAATTAATATTAAAAAAAAAACAAAATTAAAAATCATCCAAAAATATAATCGTCAAGTAGACTATTTATTTTATTTTATTTTTTCTCTTTATTTTTTTCAGTTTAACGTCTTTGATGATGGCGTCGGAAGGCCAGCAGCAGCCTATCCGTGTAAATGGAAATCGAGATTGTGAGTTTTTTGTTTTTTTCTCTCTTTCTATCTATCTCTCTATCTCTCTCTATCTATATATCTATCTCCTCTCTCTCACTCTCTCTCTCTCTCTCTCTCTCTCCTCATGTCTCTCTCTCTCTCTCTCTCTCTCCTCATGTCTCTCTCTCTCTCTCTCTCTCTCTCTCTCTCTCTCTCTCTCTCTCCTCATGTCTCTCTCTCTCTCTTTCTTTCTCTCTCCTTTTACTATTTCTAGTTGAGATTTAATTTTGTTGTTATCATGTTTGTTTGCTTTTCTTTCTTTTTTTTTATTTAATTTCACTTTGTCGGCTTTTTTGTTTCACAGGTTACCGACTTTATATTTATATTGTCTGTTTTTTTTTTTTTCTTTCTCTCTTTTTGTTCTGTTCTGTTCACTCACTCTTAATCTAAATATATTTACCGATTAGTCTGCAGCCGAAGATTTTTTTTTTTTCTATTTATATAGTTTTTAGTTAATATTTATTTATCTTATTTTTTATCTTTTCATTTCAGTGTTTAT